AGAGCAGCGCTTCATTGAGGAAACAAGAGTGTGTGTGTGTGTGTGTGTGTGTTATCATTCACTGTGTGACACACAAAGTGCTTACTGCTCTTGAGTAAACACCTTTCTCACACTCACATCCACTTACCCGGCCACTGCTGCATAAACAACATGCACACACACACACACACACACACACACACACACACACACAACATTATAACACATCCCGGCTCTCTCTTCTTTTCTCATATACACAGCACATACAAACAGTGAGTTAATCAGACCTATAAACCCTCCTTGCTGCTGGAAGATAAGCAGTGTGCTGCTAGCTCTGCCCTCCTGAGAGCTGCACTCCTCTAGCGCTGCCGTGGAGCCGCCTGATAAGGCAGGGGAGTGTGGGATACCCTGAGAGACGCAGGCAGTCTCTCTCTCACACACACAGGCTCACACACGCGCACACAATGCTCAGTATCACTTAGCCAGGTTCTCTGCAGGGCCAATCCGAGGTTTGCAGGGCCTGAGGCTCCACCAATCAGCCTTCTCCATCAGGTGTTGTTAATCTCACCAATCGGCCTGCAGGTGGATTGTGTGTATGTGTGTGTCTGAGTGTGTGTGTGTGTGTGTGTGAGTGTGTGTTTACTGTGTAGTTTATGCCAAAGCAATCAGCTGTACGTGAGAAAAATGTAACCTTGATAAAAAACTGATCAGATCTACTATTGATGCCCAATAAAAATGTAAAATTGTTTTCCTGAAGAAGGAAAAAGAATTTGAAAAAGACTTTAACTTCCATCTGCAAGATCTATTATCACACACACACACACACACACACACACACACACACACACATTTACACATATTACTTCTATATTTGAGGAAAGCAACTTTAAGTCAAATCTTGCGTTACCGCGTTTCACCACCTTGTTTTACATTGATCCAGCAAATTAAACAAATATAATTTATTATATGAATGGCCTTCTTCTTCTTTATTTTACTCTCATACCCTGAAAGTTGTTTTTACTTTAATATATTAGCATTAATAATAAGTACCAGTTGTGCAGTTACTTAATCGTTATAATCTTTCCCTTTTTGACTCTGCACACCCTGCAACCATTGAAAAAAAATAAAAAAGATGTCTAATTTTCCAGACTTTGATGAGGATAAGTCTGGCTCTGGGTCTTAATTGATTTTCCTCTGCTTGAATTTCATTGAGTGAACTTTTACTTCACATGTTGCCAAGTTTAGCTGATTTAAGGTTTTCCCAACCTAAATGTCTGTACAACACGATATTGTAGTTTTTAACGCACGTCATGTATCTGACTGCTGAAGTTACTTATGATTTTACAGGCTGATTGTATGACTATCTAACTTTTTAGAATACAACAATTAACATGATATGTGATTCAACCACACCATGATTTAAAAACATGATGTAACAAAATTAACTCTTACTAATTATTTATTATTAATAATATAATGAAGTTGCCTTTAAGTACTAATTAAGTACTTTCTTGTACCAAACATTTTTGTGTTATTTTAGGAAGAACATTTGTATGATTTTTACTTTAAATTACTTATTTCTGAAATGCAACATAAGTAACAAATCTCAAGTGCATTTCCACCATTACCTTAAGCTTTGCTTCTGTTTTTCAACTCGGTTTTTATCTTTTTTTCTTTTTTTTTTAATTTATCATTACAGTGTTGTATTATGTGGCTGATGCAGTGAAGTTTTTGGAACTTCGCAGACTTTGCTGATGTTTGTCGTTTGATCGTGACAGAGTGATGGTGAACTTAAGATGCCATTACATCCAGGTATTCTTCACATCTTGTAACATTGACCATTAATGCTTCTCCTTCTCCACATTTCCTCAGCAGTTCTTCTGGGTCAGTCAGTGCAAACCACCAGCAGCACCAGCAGCAGCAGCAGCAGCAGCAGCAGCAGCATTCTATAGCTTCAGTCTGCCTCTGTAACCACACTGGCTCCTCTTGGAAGTTGGCGCGGGTCAAATGCGTCTTAACTCACGGTAAAAGAAACGAGAGAATGGCCGTGAGTCGGGCCTGTTCCACTGTCCGTGCCAAGGTCAGCATTCCTCGCCGGGCCGTTGCCTAGTGTAACTTTTGTTTCCCCGGATTGTGTAAAGCTCCGGGGAGAGACGGTATACAGGAGCACGAGAGGAGAGGAAAAATAAGTTTGCAAATGAGCGCGAGCTGCCGTTTGAAAACGACCATCAAGCTGCGTTGTGCACGCGGGATGTATGGCAAGGTGTTGACAGATACATACACCCAAGAAGTTAGTGCCTGAAGGGATGTCCTCAAGAGATGATGTAGCATCACAATGAACAAATATCTCAAATCTGAAATGTAACTCTTCACATTTCGGGGTCATGTTAACCTGATTGCATTGTAAAGAAGGCTCATAATATCAGGAACCATGACAGTTTATCTTTCCCCCCGCGAAACCATTAAAGGCTTCATGGTTTAAGAAATGCGGCCTTCAGGGTCTCTGATATGACTCCTTCTGTTCAACTCTTTTTTTTTTTCTTTTCTTTTTTTAAACATATTGGTCTGTTAAAATGGTCTCATTAATCTGTCTTAAAACTTTCAAATGAATCCAGACTTTCACATTACTAAAATGTGTGTTCGATAAAATCACCGGGCATTAAAAACATCACTAAGCAGATTAATTCATCGAATTGGTGCATTTAGTTTAGCTTCTCATCTAAAACTGCAGAAAAGCTAGCATTAGGTCAAACATGTCCAAAATAAAATAAAACTACCATTAGGCCAATTGGAAACAATGAGTATTAAAAGGAGCAAAGTATGATTCCCACCATTTATCCTATTCTCTGTTTTAACGTGCATGCTTGCATTAGGCAGCATTTAGCAGCCTTCTAGTTTTAGCAGAATTTACCCAAAAGTGAAAGTCTGTGCAGGTTGACTTCATTTAAGGTAATTAAGTTGTTTGTGGTCGTGCTCGTGCGCTCAGTTTAACAAATGACTGAGGTTTATAAAGGCCCAGAAACAGTTTGTGATGAAGACTTGGGCTCTCCTGCAGGCCGCGCTCACTCCAGAAGGCCACACACACACACACACACACACACACACACACACACACACACACACACACACACACACACACGCACGCACGCACACAAATCACATGTGCTGCTTAAATAATTCATTGTATGTATTTAGAAATGCGTTTGTTAAAATAGGCTATTGCTCATCCATTTGACAGAATTTGTAGAATTAATGCTAAAAGTTTTTATCAAATATATTAGTGAACTGAAATAAGTTGTAGTAAAATGATAATAAATACAAGTCGAAGCAATAATTCCTTGCTGGTTCTTTGACATGACATTTCCATGACAGAAATTCGATATTTAATGACACCAAAACTTTGACTTCCTCTGAAACACAAACAGCCGGTATTTCTTTTTATTCATGTGCGTGTATTTTAAATAAGAAAATAATACCTAAAAGTTGGAAACAAAACTATAAAATGTCCCGTTTATGTTTCTATCAAGTTATAAGACACTTTGAAATATTAATTATCTAAAGAAAGCCTGTTTTATTTTTTACAATACTTCTGCTGTATTTTACATCTACATTTTAGAATGACTGAGAAGAGATCTCTGATAGCTTATATTTAATCATACATTAAGTGAATATATCTTTATGATATCAAATAATGCAGAAAAGTGGCTTCATGTTGATAATAACAGCCAGATGTTGTAGGCAGTATGAAAAGGGCAAACCTGGAAAATAAATGTTTTTTTGTGTTGAAATAAATATGAATCATCCATATAACTTGGGACGTTCTCTTTTCAGTTAAAACGTCCTAAATGTAGTGTTGTTTTTTAACTGAATCTTTATAAAAGTAGGACTCTCCTCTAAGCCCTTTGTGGTATTGTTAATGAAACTGCGGCTTCAGGGAAATGTAGAGCTTCATGGATCCCTCTGAGAGCAACATTTCAGCTGCTCTCCTCTCTGTGACTCCGAGCCCATACGCTTTTTATTTGTCTGTTTGTCAAGTGATCAAGTTGAACCAATACAGACTAAATTGGTGGCAGGTGGAAGCCATTTTGCCAGAGCTCATCATTTTATTGCATGACGTCTGCAGTTGCGCACTTCCGTTAAGAGCTTCATTTCCCATAAAAGGTCAAACGCAACTTTTGTAAATTATGCAGCACTGTGCCAGTCTCTCCTGACGCCTATCATGCTGATATTCTATCAACATGTCCAGAGATAATTTGATATTTTGTGCTGCTGAATAAATATTGTGGTCAAGCTCCGGCCAGGAGGCGTGCACCTGCTCCTTTCTTACCAAATCACTCCTTATTACAGGTTCACCTGAATAGAAAAAAAAAACAAAAAACATGATTTTATAATTGTGAACTTTAGCTTTTGTTGTCCAGTTTGGAGTGTTTAATGTGCGTATAGAATCTAAAAATGTGGAAAACAAAGGTGCGACTGCATGTTCTGAAAAATATGACAGATTCAACTAAAACTTCTCATTACTGACACTGCAAACATATATATATATGTGTGCAGTAATTCGCCATTAAAAAAGAGCAAGCCTTAAGTTGCGCAGCCTTGTTATCCCAACTGGTCTCAGCTTAACATCTTTCAAGAAATATTAAAAATGCAGCTTAAAGGACTATAGTCTGCACCTTTTTTTGTTACTTAAATAACGGGTTTGTAGAGGATCAGTTGGAGATCAAACATTTTGAATGACAGACGTCAATGTCTGCACTTTTAAATAAAAACATTTAAAAAAAAGAAAAAAAAAAAAAAAAAAAAAGCGTCTTGCTTTTTGAATCAAACAAACTGGGAAAATATTTGGGTTTATCAGAAGCTCCGTTTGCTGCCTCCCGCCCTCTCCGTCGGCCCCGAGCTGCCCCTACACTTTTGCCGGTGAGAGCTACTAATCCCCTGCGTCCATGGTTTACTCTGAGCCCGTATTTAATTCCTCTAAACCCCCAGCTGCCGCCCTGGTTACTCACTGAACACGACAGACTGTGAACCGCTCGGGTTATTAATAATTCACCAGCACTCCGCTCCGCTTCTCCGGCCGCGGCCGCAGGACACCGCACGTCCCCACCGGTGCGTGCGTGCAGCCGCGCCGCTTTTCCACTCTTGTTTACTTCATTTTTGCTGCTCGTTGTCTTTCACAGGGACACGCTAGTTTCATCTCCTTGTTACTATTCAGCCTACAGACCGTCCCGACTGGCATTGCCCTCCAGGTATACCGCTGGTCCCAGAAACTCTGCTTTCGCGCTGCCACATGGTGGATTTTGTTTTGTCTCATTTCGCCTGTTCTCTCCGCAACTTTCCCCGACACTGAGGAGCAGGTGGGATCGCTGGACCCGGCGTGGTGCTCCGTATTTCACCCCCAAGCAGAACCGGAGCATGCACAAGGCGACGCGCGCGGTGTCGTCCCCTCTGCAGGAGCAACAGCTGATTCTGTGAGCGCGTAAGCATAAGAGTGCAAGCTACTTACTGTGGGTGCACAGCCAGACTCCTGCTCTGGCACTCGGGCTCAGACGGGAACTGTGTCGGTGGCGCAAAGCGCGAGTACTCGGTGGACATTACGTTACCGGGACAGATAAGGGAGAGAGTGAGCAGCGCGCGCGAACATTGACGACTCTCATGGAAATATCACGAGTTGAACCCGAAGAAAAACACCTTGTATGAAAAAGTCGGGAAGCAGATCTCTTGGATTATTCGGCGCTGATCCTCCTTTGCCCGGACTGAGAAGAGTTGACCACAAATTAAAATAAAACAATGTTTACCATGCAGCAGGCCGTGTTTTAGGACTCTTTTGCTTCCGGTTTAAGGCCCAGCTGAACAAGAAACCGAGCGGATTGCTCTCTCCCACACACTTTTTTTTTGGAAGCCGAACTTTTTGAGAGTGGAAAATGGGTCTTTGAGAGAGTTGGCACATCTCCACACACCACAATGGTACGTGCTATGTAAACCAATAATTTGCTCTTTAAAGCAGTCAGATGCATTTCAGTTGTTCATAGATAAAACGATACAGAACTTTAAAGCTAAGTTAAGTATGCTGAGTTACCCAACTTGTACTTCTTGTGTGTCACTCTTTTCGTGCATAGGTAATGAGTAACAGTCATCAAAAAAGTGTCCCAAGTCCTTCCACCTTCCTGCTGTTAAACTTGATGTCAGATGTTTATATTGATTTCAAAAGCGTCACCTTCCTGAATGCTCCATGTACATTATATGTTGTTGTTACTGTTAAGAAAACATAAACCCCCTCGTTTTTATAGTTATATGACATGTTGCCAAACAACAGCCTCCTTGTCAAATCAGTGTCCAGCCCTCTCAGTTCACCGCCTTCTGCCGTTTTATCCACATGGAGAACATGAGGTCTCTCATTGCATTGGTCTCTAATGTGGGCCCGTCTGCAAACTATTAATAGCCACATATATGATACGAGCTATCGCATGTCATACAGTGTAAGCAGCTAATCAAGAAGCGTTGTAAAGGTTACATAGAGACATGTGAATCATTTGGCTTTAAGAGGATGGAACTTTTTTTGCGCCAACATTCAATTATGCGCCTATTTGGTTTGTGCGTAATTACGCACAGCAGTTTATACCGTTTCCTTCATGAAGCAGGTGATTTATTCAAGTAATTTAGAGAAATCCTGTGACATCACAGCTAAAGTTTTAGGCCTGGCCTAAATACCTTATCACATTTAGCTCTCTTTAAGGATTCAGGGACAATTGAGATTTTACTTAGGTTTTACAGAATGTCTGTTTTAAAAGGCAAAAATATTCCCTATCAGGGCATAAAGCGTTCATTTAAATGTAGTCCATGTGGGTTTAAAAAAAATAAGTTATAATAAGTCTGTTAAATACAGATTTATGATGTACAGCTTACACATCCTTGACCCTTAGAAATTCTTGTTTTGGCATGAAATGAGTCAAGTCAGGCTTTAGTTAGGGGAACCTCCCACATACAACCTTGAAGCTGCACAGATAGCAGGAAGGGATCTTATTTGCACATGAATATGGAAGATTATTAGTATGAATAATTATTTGTTTACAAGCATCCAAGCTGACATGGCAGCTGCCCAAGAAGCTCATCAGTAAAAATGATACAGAATTCAGGACAGGCCTCACATGGGATTATCTCAGCTTGTTATTCTCCTACTTATAGCAGCAACTCACCTCTTTTTTTAAAAAGAAGGAGACGATGTATTGTGAATTTGTGCCAAATATTTCAGTTGCATGTTAGTTTAGTCAGAATGCACTGGAGGCATCTGTCAATCAGTGTCAGAAATCTGTTAGCTTCCCCCGAGGCTGATGCTCCATCTCTGACACACACAAAAAAAACACTTAATCTTCACTTTTGAGTAAAGATGATCTATACAGAGGGATCCACAGGTGAGGGACTTTTACAAGTATGTGGAAAAGCAAATGGAAAACTGTAAACATGGCACACTCTTTTGTCCCAAATTTAAGCTTTAATAGACATAAGATCGTCGTAATAGCTAAATTAGATTTAAGTAAATGAATATTAGAGGTCCCCAATGCTCTCTCATGGTCAGCATACATGATGTAAAGGATCAGAGCATATGAGACATACACAGTATTCATGTAATACTGTGTACATAGCTGTGTAATTATCCTTAGTGTGTGTGTGTGTGTGTGTGTGTGTGTGTGTGTGTGTGTGTGTGTGTGTGTGTGTGTGTGTGTGTGTGTGTGCTGCCTTCCTCGTGGTGATCAGAAAAGCGGTTTTCCAGACGTGTGTGATCTTTCTCTCTTGGCTCTTGTTGCCAGTGATGTCATCCCTTACTTTATACTGAATATTATGCTATAATGCTTGTCCTGGCCTTGGCATTTTCCTGCAATAATAAACAAGACTTCAAGCTGGCTCTGATAGTTTGTGTAGTGTGTAAGCTTTTAACATGGAAACTCTGATTTTCAAACTCAAACAGCATAAACCTTAGGAGAGTCCGCTTGGTTCATTTTGTCAGGTTATTTACTTTTAAAATGTTCTGATGCTGGTTAAGGCTAAAAGTTCACTTTAAATCAAATAAGATGTTTTTCTTCATATGACTCGGTGCTAGTTGTCACCACTTTAAAAGTATTTGACATTTTTTATTTATTTATTAGAAAGTAGTCTCAATGACATTTAATTTCCCACAAAATGTAACACACCCTGCTCTTTGGGGCATAGCGTTTTTTTTTCTCTGAATCAAATGAACCCCTTTATTTTAATGCCCCTAGCCCATGATGCACAGGACCACATCTAGTTAGCAGCTTTGGGCCATTACTGTTGGTGTTTGAATAATCTCAAATGCAGCACTAATAACCACTTTAACCCCCAATTAATATAGGCAACTCTCTCTTTAGTTTCCTGTTCATAAAGGAAACAACATTCTGGGACTCACTGATTATATTATTACACCTTCGCCAAGAGTAAGAGTCTCTACCTATAGGTTTCAGAAAAAGCTGGATTCCATTAATTCCCATAATGCAGCTTGATAAAATTGTTTGCTAAACCTTCCCTTCTCGCTGAATGCCCTCATCTTTCGCGTTCGGTTTGCCCAGTTTATAACCAAATGCTTTCTGTCAGATACATTCTAGTATAAAGCCTCATTCAAGATAACCTGGATGATATCATAGAGTTATTGTTGCTCCGTCTTTAGAGAGACCCATTTCAAAAATGACTGAACTTATCGTGTAAAATATGGTATTTCAGTGGAGTACCCAATTAATTAAATGAGTGTAAACCATAGACTGTAAATATTGATGTAAACACACATTATTAAATCCATTTTCAGTGTACAACCCAAAACCACACTGTGTTCAGAATGCTACTAGTCTTTGTTTTGTCCCCTTGAAACATTCATAAAAGATGGTATAGTATGATTTATTTTAAATATATTTCAATCAATTCAGACACCCTCACAACTTTGGCAAGGGATTTATTGTTGAGGCAGAACTTATTGGAAAAACTTCCTATTTGTTTTCTAATCACAATATAATTTCTATCACAGACAGGAAAGATGTTGCAGTTTCACTGACTTCTTTTACAATATTGTTCAGCCCTAATGATGTTCGTCCAGAGCATTTGTTCCTGGTGAAGCCACAACAGGGTCCTTTTGCTGCCTGACTTGCTTGAGTGTGTTCTGATAATGTACACAAGTACATTTGCATCCCCCCTAAAAAAACTAAAAAAACAAAGAAAAACTCTGGAGTGAGTTATCTCACTGTTTTCAGTGCAGTTTTAATCAGTCAATAATAAATCAATGATTCAATCATTTTTTAAATAGTGTGAAATCATAAAGCAAGTTTTCTCATGACAGTATACACAAAGGGCAGGTCTAGCTGTTCTCTTTGTTACTTTAGTTACAAAGACCACTATGAGCGAGAACTTGGCATCAGGTGATAGGGAGAATCTTCTCTCTGACAGGAAGAAACCTCGAGCAGAACCAGACTCATTGGTGAACAGCCATCTGCCGGGGCTGGATGGACGAGAAGGTGGGCGAAAAGAAGAGGCCGTTTTTGAGCTTTCTTAAAAAAGAAAGTGACTCTATTGAAATATAAACAGGTGTATCAGGATGGTTTAATTTGTGTGGTCAAATATATAATGCCAATACTTAGAGATTGGTATTTTTCCAGTGTAAAGGAAGCTTTACTTTGTCTCATCAAGCTCAGGCAGCTCACATAACACTCTTCTATCTCACATCTAATTTATACCTCTGCCTCAATTACTTTATCAAGACTTAACCCTCACATTAATTGGTTTCAAAAGACAGCTCAGACTGCACAGCAGCTGCTAAACCGGGTAATTTGAACCTACTTAATTTGGGAAGGTGTTGGTATCGTTTGCCTTCCGAGTTTAATTTGGAAAAAGAAAAAAAAAAATCACAACAACAATACATGTATTTTTCCTCCCCTCTCTCCACTTTAGGGCCTTAATGAGGAATTAGAGCCAATAGCATTATTCATTAAATAGAGCTTGCCAGCTATTTATCACTGAAACAATATTAGCATATTTGTTTAAATTTTCAACACTTTTTTTTTCATAGCATTCGTAACCAGGTTTAGCATTTTTAATAATCTGGCATCAACACAGTCTACCAAATTGAAAGCTGAAAAAGAACCAGTGGCAAGCCCCAGAAACACACTAAAATCCTTTATAAACACACACATACACACACTCTCCTCTAATTACCGCCTCCCCTGCTCCCTGTCTCATTCCTCACCTCCTGAGATGCAGGTGTAAAATATCACATTTTTCCAGCATTTCTCCCTGAGGTGGCGCTGGCTTGGACTCACACAACGTAAATTTCCCCTTTCATATTCCCCCACACATTTTTTTCTACAAACAAGTTCCCCCTCCCATCCCTCCCTCTCTTTGATGTGCTTGCCACATCTGCACAGGTTTGTTAGCTTGTTACCAGGTGAAGAATGAGGATACAATTAAGGCTGAATGAAGTGGGACTGGGAGGATGTCAGTTATGGTTTGCGGTCCAAATAAAGAAAACCTCTGATGTTCTTGAAAGTGTTGCGCTTACAGAATCGATGCTGTGAATGATTAGGACGCCCCGGTGGAAGGATCAGAAGGTTGAGGTTGTAAGGATACCTGCAACTTATGGTTGTGTGTCCAGAAATATGGAAACCCAGTGTGTTTATGTGCTGGTGTGTCTCTGTGTTTGATGGTGATGACATGGACAAAGGAGGGTGGAACATATTTATATGTGTTCAGCTATTTTCAGTGCAATGAATGATATGACTTTGTTTTGAAGTAAGCATGCAAAGTGTTGCAACATCATGCATTGGTCAATCATACAGTGACCAACAAAAGATTTTCATTTGGAAAACAGGCCACATATTCAGACAATACTGCAAATTTAGAAACACTCACAAAAGTCCAAAACAAATACAATAACAGAGATAAACTGCAAAAAAACATGCGGCTGAAAGCCAAACCAAATGTGCTTATACATAAGAGATGTATAGTCAAAAACCCACAAACTGGGGGTGCTGGATAGCCTAGTGGTTATGTCTTGCACCCCATGTACAAGGACTATAGTCTTCTAAGTGGGCGTCCCAGATTTTACTTTCACCCTGTGCACTTTGTCACATATCATCCCCGAGTCTCTCATCCTTCTAGCTGACTCTCTCCGCTGTCTTCTCCTACAATAAAGACCTAAAAGCCCAAAATAAAAAACACAAACTCAGAAAGAAATACAACAGAGAAACTCTGCATACACAGTCATTGCAGCATGCTTTCCACATGTTTAGCAACTAGCAATGCTTTGAAAATAACACAACATTACAACCAGAAATTCCTACGGTTTGCCTGACTCAGCTGGCTCGACAAATAGAACGGAAACTGGGCAAACTGTAAACCTGGTTCTGTTCAAAGGTGCTAATAACCCTATTTAAAAAAAGTGCTTGAACCCTTTCTTGGTATACAGTGAATTTTCCCTCCCCTCTGAAATCTCTCTGACTCTGAAGTTGCAATGTTCTTCACCATCGTGCCTTTTTACAATAATGTGAATGCAAGAGAAACACAGTGATTCATTTGTGCACCCCAGAAAGAGTAGTTGTAGTTTTTACCTTGGTAAGAGCAATGCAAGCTATTTCCCCATGTGTACTGTTAATGTGTTAAGCTAGCTGAACAACCCCTGAGCCCAAGGCTCTACTCCTAAGACTTAGGCTAAACTGTAACATCAGGACTTCATGTATGAGTTTGTGATTAGGTCTGATAGAAAAATTATTCAAACATTACAGGTAAAAATCAAAAACACAATTTTTGCACATTAGCCAGTAAACAAGTTCTGAATACTTGACTTTTGTATAATTATCTTTCAATTGTTATAATATGGCTAACGTATCAGAATGATTGCTTAGATACAAATCAAGCTGACAAAATGTTGAGTTATGATATTTACTGTCTTTTTGGCTCCATTACGGTCCCCAAATTACTTCTTAGAGATATTTCAGGCTGTTTTGCTGCTAAATACTCCACTATGTACGCTAGCTTTTGCTAACTTTGTTGTTGGAGCTAGGCAGGCAGGGAAGTGGATTTAAGAGCTTTTTCTCCTCTGCAAACAGAAGGCTAGAGATGTGACAGTGATTTGTGACAGCAAAATTTCAGGGCAGAAAACAAAAACAATGAGCTGAAAGACACTAAGCTCAGTTGAGCTAAGGCTAACTGCGGAGGCAGAAGAACATTCTCTTTTGTTTAGTTACTACAAAAAGTGTAATTCACATTGCAGACTGTTGTTTCATTGATTGTGCAGGTAAAATGACTAACTAAAGCCAGCATTTTCAGATTTAACTGAAATATTTAGAATATCTTAAGACCCTTTCAGAATTATAATTTATATATATATATATATATATATATATATATATATATATATATATATATATACATACACATATGAATGATTAATAATGATTGATTCCATGCTCCATAAAACTCAGAGAGAGAGGGACAAAGGGGTCAGGGCTGCAGGAAGTGACATCAAACAATGAGTCCAAAGTGATAGTGATTGCAGATGTAGTCATTGTTTTTATCATATCATCTTCCATTTTTAAGTTACACGGAAGGCCATACATTTCTGCGCAGCACAAAGTACTTTTCAACTTCAGTCAACTAGCGCTAGCATTGCGCCTAATTCTGTGCTGGTCTGTGATTACCAACAGTGTATATTCTACAGCTGGTCCAGGCAGTTTAAGAGCTTAACCAAAAGCCAGGGAGATGACAAGGGCACCATTTAGTGGGACAAATGGTTTCAAATGGTTCCCCTCCAGTGTTTCCCCACATATTAACGATGACAGGCTAGAGGTCGGATGCTTAGAATGAACGTAAGAATGTTTTTCCTTAGTGACTCGGATGACTTGAAATCTAACTTAGTATAACGTGTCATGTTGCTCTTGCTTTACTTAATGTGAGCAAGTTCACCATTTCAAACAGAACGAAGGTAAATCTTGTGTTAATTCTCTCCCTGCTCGACCTTTTTGCCACAGACATGGGATGAAATCGCACAGATGCCCTTCCTGTGTTAGAGCAAAAGGGAAAAGACTCAAGCTGTAACCTCTCATTCTCAGGGATATGAATAGCCTGTGTCTCTAGCCGCAGCTCGGTGAGCCCAAGTCTGGGACTTATTATAGTGCTGTGTGTTTATGCATGGGTCTGCACATGTATTTGTACAAGTGCAATCCCATGTCACCGTGTGCGTGTGTATTTTGGTGCACATGTACATGCTTAAGTAACTTAACGTCTGTTTGGATTCTCTGAAAAAATTGTTTTCCACACATGCCAGTTTAAACGGTGTAACTTTACATTTTGTTGCTGGCAACGAGTAATGTTTATTCCTGTTTTGGGTGTGTTTGTTTCTGCTTGGGGTATGTTAAGAAATAAGAACATAAAGTTATGGAAAACAGGATTATTTTCCCTCCTCTCCTTTATCAAGAAACTCAAAGCTCCTGTGAGTTAAACTTCCTTCCTCACAGAACTGGAGTTATTTTATCAACCTAGCCATTTTTAGCATTCGCCTAACAGCTTTAGTTGATTTCCAAAACAGACGTTCAAATTTAGCCCGGCGAAAAACCAATTTGTAGTAGCTTGGACTTAAAAGTAATAGCTACAGGCCAGCTAACCAGGCAGAACTCCCATCCCTGATGCAGACCCTAAGTAAGTCGTTCCCTCCCATCCATGTTGTCTGGCCTGGCTTCCTCAGCAGAACTGCAATGGCTGCTCATTCAGAGCTCAAGTCTGTGTGCCGGCGAGTCCCACAGCATACAAATGAACTGCGCTGAATAGAAACAAACACTTAGAATAAGTAACTTAGCTGCATCTATCAGTGGATGCAGTGTAGGGCCTGTAGCGCAGCCAAAAACTTGTTTTAGCAGAGATGTATGTCCCTGTATGGGCTTGCCTTTCCTGAATGTGTGTAGTATGTGAGTATGTGTATCAGTGTGTGTGTGAATGATTTGTGCTGAATCAGTGTGCGCTGACAGAAAAGTGACCATGCAGGTGAAACAGCAGGGACAGGAAGTACCATTGTGTCAGAGGATTGTGTGCGGGGACGGCAGCTAAACACTTTGCTCCCCATTCAAGTTCTGGGTGACTGTCAGGGCCGGGCCTCAGGCCTTACAGCAAGCATATGGGTGCAGGCAGGCAGGCAGCACACACTGTGTGTATGAGAATAAGTGTTGGAGAAGAACTTAAAGATAAAACACATCGTTTCTCATGGTGGTGGGACTTGGTACATTAATAAGTCATTCTGAAACAGCAGGATAAGGAGGATTTTTACATCCAAAATCGTTATGCATTATGTAGCCAGCTTTATGTGTGTTTTTAAATTTCCTGAACGTACAAAAGTGTCAACTCATGAATGAATGACTTTGTGTTACATTTCAGGCAACCGAAACCTTTCTGTTGAACGAAGAACCCTCCAGAGGTCCTGGGATGCCTGAATGCTTTGTAGTATCAGATTCATACAGGGTATGCATCTATTATTATTATTATTGTTATTATTATTATTATTATTTTATTATTTTATCATTATCATTACATGTGTTGGTATTAAATGTGTTATTTGAGTCATTACTCGTTACTATGACTGACAGTCTGTTTTCATGCTCGTGGTAATTGCACCGCAATCATAATGTCATTCACAGCTCCCTCTACTCAGCTGCAAACCATTACAATCATTATTTCCACACGCACATTTTAGAAAAAAAAAAGTGTGTGTGTGTGTGTGTGTGTGAGGGAGGTGGGGGGGGGGACTTTGTAACTTCAACAAAGCACCCTCACCTCATGAGAGTGAAAATGATGATGATAATGAACAGCACGCCTGCTTGTATAAAAACAAAAGTAACACAGAATTAAAGAAAGTGAGCAGCTTTTTTTTGTTACAAAAGAGAAATTCAGTCAGAGAGCGCAGTGGATTTACGATGATCCAAATGATATGGAATGGTTGTAAAAACAGGAGAGAAGCGATGAGGAGTGGGAGAGGAGAAATAAGACTGGGGTGAGGGGGGTAGGTATGTGGATGACTGAAAAGTGATTGTTAATGAGGTAGGAGCCAGTTTTCTAGGCTACAGGCTTTGTTTCCCAGAGTTGAGACGTTACGCCAAGTCTCACAGAGAATCTGGGTTGCTACAGTGTGTCGTGTGTCTCGGCATACAGAAATGAACCATTATGGCTGTAATTGAGTAGAGCGCCTGCTAGAGGGAGAGTTTATGGGGAAGGGGGAGGAGCGTCAGTGAAGCTGGGATTGGGTTCCAGGGGCAGCGAGTTCAAGATCATCCACAGGAGGGTGTCCACCTCCAGCTTCTCATCAGGAGGTCTTCTGATGGGGGCTTCACTTTGTACCATGTGCTTCTCGACTGCTTTCTTTTTCTTTTCTTTTCTTCCACGTGTGTGTATTTCTGCGTGTTTGTTTGTTTGTGTTTCGTATACTTGTGTTCTTCTCAACATCCCTTAGACTGACAGTGCAACCTTTTTTTACGAGGTATCTTGAAACTTATTGAAATAGGGTTTTAACATCCTATTTTGCATGCAGAGTTCTAGAGCATGAAATGTTACCACATCAAAATAAAGAGATGTCCAACTATGTGAAGCTGCAGAGTAAATGAGCGATTTCTTTGGTCAAATTGCTCCATTTGAAGGATTTCAGGGGCCCTATGAGGTGAAAGCGTCCAATGAAAATCCCTGTCTTAATTAGAATAGAAAAGGATAGAATAGAATAGAATACAACACTGTATTTTCATCACACAGATGTGCAACAAAATGTCAGTGCATGATCTCTCAGTAGGAGGTTAAAATGACAAAATAGAGAACAACAGGTTAAAAAGTGAAACATATGTAATAGATAAATAGTAATAAAAGTCATTGATTTAGTCATTTCTGCTTACTATTAAATCCTTAAAACCCTAATCTCTTAAAAGAATGATACACTCTGCTCATACACAAAGATCTTCAATCTTTTTTTTTACGGGGAATCCCCTTAAAAGGTTTTGTACCTTTGTCTTTATAGGAATTGCAGGTTTCTGCTTGAGGAGACAGAAAATAAAGTCACTCACACACACCGGCCGCCACTTTTACTCACTTTACAGATCAAAGTATGACCTAAAGCCTTCTCTGGTAAAGAGTTTATTCAAAAGAAACATACAGACGCAGCCATACAGAAGGACAAACCAACAGAAGATTTAGCTACAGTGCACTTTTGCGTTGCAATGTACTCGTCTCTAGGAGGGATAAATACCATTGATCCAAATGATTTTTCCTCATTTGTTGCTATGATGATGATGGTGGTGGTGGAGAAAGCTGTCAGGTCAGTCCAAAACTTCAGATATTCCACTGCGGGCTGAGATCTGGTGACTGCAAATTTACGTCAATGATACATGAGACAGTGCTCTTAATTGCAAACAGACAAAATCAATGCTAAAAATTACAAGGTCGTCAACACATATGATACTCTGTCAATTTTCGATCTGCGTTTTATTTATTTATTTTAAAGATTGATTGAATATAACTTTTATCACAACTGAACACCCTCCTTTATATGTTTGACCAAAAGTTGCTGCTGGTGATAGAGAGAGAGTTACAGTGTTGTCATTGTGTGCAAATGTTTACAGTGTGCAGGCAATGTTGGGTACAAGAAATTTCCCAATATTGCCTAGCGCTTTTGTTTTTGTTGCCATGGTATCAGAACAGGTATCTCTAGAGTTTAATTTTCACTAATTGTACTGAAGTTTAAACATCTGATATAGAGGCATGCCACATCACACCGCAAGATCTGCAAGGGATATTGGACAAAACATATAGGCTACATGTTGTCTTCATTAGAAAGTGAAAAGTCAATTAAATAAAGAAATATGAACAATAAAAATATTGACAAGGACAACAAATGCACAAATATTTATTAAAAAAAAAATACTTGAACCTAAACAGAAAATATGACAAATATTCTTGTGTATTCTGTGAACACTGAACTCAAGTTCAATGCTGAACTAACTCATAAGAAGGAGCTTTAGTGGTGACCTCTTGACCGCTGACTTGATCTGGTCTTGATCCTTTAACGATGAGAACAAGTCGTTCAAGCAAACCCCTGCAAACAAATCAACCACACTCCTGCCCATCATCATCTCTCCTCCTTAGCGGCCTCCTCTTACAACCAGGTGTGGCATCATCGAGCCTTGTGCCGTCACACCTTGTGTGATCGTTCCAGGCAGACTTTGCGGTTACTGCCATCCTTAAACAACCTGTCCTGCAGACCCAAAGCTCCCCTGAAGTAGAGGAACAGAACATACCAGCACACCAAGTCCCTTTGATAGCCTTTGAATGCAACTGTAGAACCGCTCCGCGCTGCTGGGGGAAGCCTTCCAGCAGTGGTAAATATGTATATTCGAGGCGTGTGAAAACGCAGAGCCGCAGCAGACCCACCAACCAAAGCATATGGCTCTACCATGTGTTACTAAATGAGAGATTTACTCACACAGACCACTAAATGTGTGCCTCATTTAAGGAGCCACGGCAGAGAGAGAGTGTTTGCGTGTGTTGCATGCGAGTCGACTCCATAAAGAAGGAGGAAGAGAGGTGGTGGTGCTGGTGGTGAGGGGGTGAACCGCGCGCTCTGACCTTTTGCACTCGCGCTTTTAATAACTCTTCTGCAAAAGTTTGCCCTGACTATCCTTTTAAAATGCAGCATGGTTGGAAAGAGACTGCACCTGTCTGAGAGGGGAACAGAGAGGTGTGTCACTCTCTGTTTCTTATTAGTTTTACTTTAACAGAAAGTCATGCCGGTGTTATGTTGACTTTTTATGTCCGTGCGTTCACTCTCTCTCTCTCTCTCTCTCTCTCTCTCTCTCTTCGCGCCCGCTTTTCGCCGCGTCCCCGGGCGTGTGCGCCTGTGTGTGTGTGTGTGTTAGTGTTTGTGCTGTAATTGGCCACACAGAGCCCTCATCTCATTGTTTCTCCTGCAGAGGCTTGCGGTAGACCTGCACAAGCAGCATGCCTCGTAAATCTGTGGGACTCCAACGGCAGGCCTAAAATTTCACAATGATTTCCACTCCCACCAAGTCCTTACTGTAGCCTACCGCATGATGCAGTCCAAGAGGTTTAACATTTTCTGACTTTTATATGATACATACATCACTCACTTCTGTGCGTGCGTGCGTGCGTGCGTGTGTGTGTGTGTGTGTGTGTGTGTGAGAGTCCCTGTCTTCTCATTCACCCCAATTTAGCACCATTTAGTATTTTGATTCAGAACAGAGGCTGTTATTATATATGTCTGTTTGCTGGTTTTCTTTTGCGCGGTGATCGCAGCAGTCACTGTTTGGCTTGGACTCACTTCACTGGTTTTCTAAACTACAGTTGTGGCTTCCAGACTGGGTCAAATTTGGTTCAGTAAATAAATAGTCTTAACTTTGCAGCTGCGATGAGATAATGCGCCGATTCAAATGAATCTAAGTATATAAGCCCGTGCAAACTTTAGCTTTAATGCATGAGACTTAAGAGCTGAAATGCCCAAATCAGAATGTAACACAATATTTTATTCATGCAACTGAGCTGCACGAGCCAGACTCATACATTTTGTGAACAAATCAGAGACGTCATGGAGACAGTGCCTCAATGTGTGAGGGATACGTCTCCTCTCGTTTATGAACTTTTCCTTTTTTTTTTTTTTTTGCATTCGATGCAATTAGGCTACGTGTGTCTTTCAAGTCTACATGTAACAACATAGTAGCTACAAATTCAAGCACACGCCCCCCCCCACCCCCACCCACCTTTGTGTGCATTCATAACACTGAATGGAGAGGTCAGTAAACGCAACTAAAAAAAAAAAAAAAAAAATGACTTTACCGTGTTAAATATGCAGGGACACTCTGCTGGGCGACAGGCAGCCAGCAGAGATTCATTAAAAGAACCATTTCTTCCGTTTCAAAAGTCAGAAGTTAAGCCAACCACGCAACAACAAGTTTGATAATTCTGCTTCAAAAATTAAAATGCCGCCTTTTTTAGGAGAAGTCGTTATTTAAAAAAAAAAAAAAAAAAGTCCTGAGCGGTAAAAAAGTCCTGCTTGGAAGAGAGGGGAGGGAGACAAAGTTTTTTTTCCCTGAAAGTTTGTGTAAGCTTTCACTTTCAAGGCGGGGTTACTGTAAGCTGCAGCAGCATGGAGTGAGAGAAACAGGACGGCGAGCGAATGCAATGCAGCACTATACCGATCTTCCATCCAACTTAAATAAGCTCTCCAATTCTTCTCTCTGAAAAAAAAACCATGTACTCCCCGTACTGCCTGACACAGGTAAAACAGCTTTTCTTATTTCATTGTTTGGGTGGGCAGTAAAGGGGACGCCGGGTTTTCTGATGGCACTGGCTCTGTCTGCTATTTCACATGTGTTTATTTGTTGTCTTCGTTTTTCTGCTCTCTTACTCGCTCTTAAGATTCGCCCCAACTCTCCGACGCTCGTCCCGCCTAGGAGCGCGTTTGTGACGCAGGAAACTTTCCTGCGCGTTTCCATCGCACATGGTTTTGGAGAGAAAATGGCGCTTATCCCGAAATGTATTTCATATACAAAAAAAAAGAAAAAAAAGAAGGAGGGGAGCCTGCAGGAGGTGGGGAAAGAAGCAGAGTGCAGGGGACAGATAGAGAGTTGTAGTTGAGTGTAATATTTCTGCTGCTACATGTCTTCCGAGTGGCGAAAGCTCGCGAAGTTTGTGTCCGGTGAGAGGAGTTGCAGAGCGCACACCGCCGCCTTTAGGTCTGTCTTCACGTGGAGCTGAGACCGGGAGGAGCGAGACATTGGAGCTGGTGTGTGTGTGTGTGTGTGTGTGTGTGTGTGTGTGTGTGTGTGTGTGCGCGCTTGTAGGCTTTGTGTGCGCGTGTGTGTGTGTGTGTGTGTGTGAGGAGGAGAGCGAGAATGGGAGTGTGTGTTTGTTTCATCCAGATAAAAACAGCCCAGACCCACTGCATCTTATAAAAAAAAAAAAAAGTTTTTTTTTTTCTTTCTGGAGCTCTGCTGCACCTTTTGATTGTTTTGCAAGTTTTGCCCTTGAACGCAACAAGTGCTGACATTTGTAGTAGGATAGGAGGTTGGCAAGAATAGACACCCAATGCATTGATTTTGTTATCTGAACATCCCAGCATCTTTCCCTTTATTTAAGTGTTCATCTTCATCAATCTTCATGATTTAAGCGCTCATATTATCTGAGTGGAGACTGATCTTAAAACAAATGTCTCTGTTCTTGCATTTTAAAATTGCTCTTTGCTGCAGGTTTGCTGCACCCCATTTCTTCAGTTTTAAACCCTCATCTTTCCCGTTCAAAGCTATAAAGTGATGTTGGTTTTGTAGTTTGAAAGGATTGCCCTGCTCGTGTTTAACACACGACATTTTCATAGTCACTTTCTTTCCTTGTCAAGGAAATAATTCACGAGACATAATCCCCAAATGATGTAGCCCACTTTAATTTGTAGATTAAGTAAAAACAACATGTAGTTTAACCACATTTTAACTGAGATGTGCTCAGATTGACTTGTTTTTCATAACAGAGCATGCATAGTCTAAAAACAACATTAGCGAGAGAGAGAAAATGAACAGAATTATATTGTGCTGCATTCAGAACTTTTTCCGGGAGTTTTTACAGCATCGGCACATTCAGCTTTATGCACCACAGTCATGCAAAAATGTTCCATTTCTAATATCAAACGTGTTCAGCAGTTCCCTCCTATTTTATTTAAAAAATTGTATCTTAAAGTCAAACTGTCATCCTCTCCCCAGCCTGTGAACTACAAAGCCATACACAATCCTAAATTGTGAGAAAACATTTGAAAAGGCACCTTGTCTTTGAGGCTAAGCCTCAGTTTTCCATGACTTTTTTTTGGAGGTTTTTCCCTTCATTCAGGCTGACTGGCAACCCCCTGACCATATTCTACAACAGCTGGAAGTCTCCCTCTCTTAAAGCAGACTTGTTTATCCTTTACAGGCTTCATCTGACACTGGACTGTCAGGAGTGCATTTGATGTGTAATTCATCCCTGATTTGTACATTAGAAGACTTTTTCCTCCCATCACATGCCTCCGCTGTCTGCTACCAGAGGCTGACAAGATGTTTGGGGAAAAGTCAAGTCTGGTTTATATTTGAAAATATTCTTAGCTAAGATCAGAATGTGTCCTTTCCCTTAATACCAGAAAGATAATGGACATTTGTATTATTTCCCTTCAATTCTTTATTATATTGTGGACGCTTTTCAAGGCATCTTGGTGTTTTCATTTAAAGCTCAGAGAGTGAAAGTGACTGACACTCAAAACAGAAATAAAAAGACAAATTGAAGCAGATTGGTAAAATAAAAAGCATATTTCCTTTAGATTGAGGATGTATATGTGAGATGATCTGCTTTATAGTTTTAATGACCCTTATGCTGATTAGTCAAGGCTGAATCTTTTAGTGGATAAGATGACTTTATATGTATATGGATGCATTCTAATGAGTAAAATACTCGTTCACTGCAGAAATCCATTGAACTAAAGGAGTTGTTATTTTGCTAAGTAAATGTTCTTTAATCAAAACTAATTGGCCACAGAAGCTCATGCAGTGTAATGTGCTGCACATGTTGCACGTTGTTAGAACATGCAGTGTGTCAGCGGCTACAGCAGCTGCAGCTCCTCACACTGTGTTTCTTGTCATTTTTTAAAAATCTTGTGTTTGTTGTGAAATGAAGAAACAACTTCCCTCTCCATGCAAACAGCTCCAGCCCCCCCCTCCCAACACACACACACACACACCCACACACACTTCTCACACAGCATTCCCTCGCAGCTCAGTCTGCAGACGGAAATGCATATTTTGTTTATTTAATTGCTGTTAATAATTAAAAAATCAAGTTTGGACCTCGGATACGGCAACAATTGTAAACAATCAAATGAATTATTAACTGCGACAAAATAAAAGCCTTAGAGAAGCAGCGAGCCGGACGAGACGGACGCTGCGTAATGGAGGCAAATGACTGGGAGGTGTGTGTGTTCTGTCTGACTTCTGTTTTTTTTTTCTTCTCTTTTTTCTTTTTAATAATGACTTAAAATCACATCTATATTAAGGAACTTTAAAAGTAAAAAAAAAAGCTTTTTTTTCAAAAAAACTCAAACATCAGCTGATTCTTAAATGTTTATTTAGGCTATAATTCATCCCTTATATATTATCATTAAATTGCAAATTTCCTGCCCAGATTGTAATTCTTATATATATATATATATTTCTCTTTGTTTACACTTCTTTTTTTCCCATTCTTTTATGTCCGCATTTGTTGCCTTTTTCCAAGTCTCAAGTGTCCGCTCCCTGCAGGCCACGATGACGCAGCAGAAATATGCACCTTGAAAAACAGTGATTTGGGGCTTGTTTGCATTATTAAATGTGTGTGTTGGATTCTTTGATAGAGCTCGTTATGTTTTCATCTCTCACTGTTTTCACATGGTGCGACATTTTAACTTATTCCTTCCCTCTGCCCCCTTGTGCCCGCCTGGACGCTGACCCCTGCTCTCCTAACACCCTCTGCACACTAAAGTATTACCCTACTCACCTTCTAAACAATGCCTTAGTGGTAAGTCCTGTTCAGTCCCTTTTTATTCCGCATTAGGTGTCTGTGTATTTACATATTCCATCATGACAAAATGTTTTTTTTTTTTGGGGGGGGGGGGTTACATTACACGCTGACCTGCAGAAGGAATTATTTCAGGCACGTGTGCAGGACAGGCGATGGCAAAAAAAACACAAAACCTCTGAATATCTTTTCGCACACACTGCATGAAATGTTGTTCTCTTCACTGTTTTTTTTTCGACATTCATTCCCAAATTGCCTGACCAGGAGGAACCTGTTTCTCAATTTGTAATGCAGTAACCTTGCAGCGCAACTACACCAAAAAGCTGCAGCGGTTCCGGGCAGTTTGAGAAACGGGAAAATCAGATCATGGCAGATGGGTTACGTCACCAATATAACTTCTATGCTCTATTGAATATGTCGTACTTTGCAGTTTTTAATGAAGAAAACGGAAGGCATTATTTTGCAGTAGCATTTTGTCTTCTTTTAATCCCCTTCATTCATCAACTTTGCGTCATTTGCTGCACTTTTTTTCTTCTTCTTCTGGACCATGCGTCCTCCACGTGCAGCAGAAGTTGCGTTGGACACTTTATTTAAAAAAAAAAACTCTGTGAAGTCCTTGTCTTGTCTTTGTCGGTTTCAAACAGTTTGAAGTCACCTCCACTCTGAGGTCACCTTCTCAGCGCGCGTGACTTATTGTTCTGTCCTCCCAGTCTGCAGCGCGCGCGAAACAATTTTCCTTATCAGCTCTATATGTTGCTCCAAGAGGATGTATGATGTTTTTCTTACGTCACCAGCGGCCGTTATCAGAGAGCAGTGTTTTCAATGAAAACATCAAAGTCATATTTAGAGGAGACAGCATGAGCTAGTTTGTTTTATATGAAAATCTAATTAAATTAATGTAATCAATATCAGGACCTTTTGAGCGTTAACTTTACCATTCACACATATTTGGTGAGGTGGCCCTCAGATCACCCCCCCCTCCCCCCTCTCCCTCCCTCCCTCTCTCTGCTCTCTCTCTCTCTCTCTCTCTGTGTCTCTTCCCAAGGCCTGCAGAATGAGTTGGAACAGCTGTTCAGAGGATTAAAAACTGATGGAACCACGGTCTGAATAAACAGAAAATGTTGAATTTTTTAGAATAAAAGACTGCATGGACAAAGTTGGTCGAGTGCACAAGCGTAGAGACGTGGACCTAAAACCTTTAGTGCCATCATGTCTTCATGCCAATTAGGCCTGTGAGTGGTTATCACTGGATTAGCTGGGATGCCAGTTTACAGCGGCTTGTGTCTCACCTTTATCCTTTTAAATGAATCGCTGCACAGTCATTTAAAAAATAAAGCTCCAAAATCACATTTCAGGGAGTTAAGGACTGGTCTCATTGCCTGTATTACATTTCTCAGATTAAAAGTATGTTATCACTGTGGGTTGCGGTTCAGCTGCACACAAGTTTAATTGTTTAAAGTCTATGTATACAGCCGCAGTTTGAGTCACTGATGCCAAACAGCCAAAAGAAGTTTAGCTTGTGTAGGAAAGGTGACCCTGTAGCCAGTTAAGCACTCTGCTTCTGGCCTGCAGACAAACGAATGAACTCATAGTGCATTTGATTGACAGGAAGGGCTGACCTATTGTGCTCTCTGGTAACTGAGTTGTGTGTGCGCACGTGTAAGGGGAGGAGGCAGTGAGTACGAGGTGAAACTGGAGTCTCTGATTGGCTGTGCTACTTTTTTTATGCTGTAAAGGCAGCGGCGGATCTTTTCCCCCCTTCATCACGAGACACCAGGAGGTCATAATGCCAGACTCCTGCCTGGGACATCATGTTCCTTTTACTTATTCATCACTCCCAGTCAGACACAGGCCAATCCAATGCCAAGTCATTTGAATACATGCTCGCTTCATTTAAGGTAGTATTTTTGTTTATATGTGGACTCCTTTTGTTGGCACCACCAAAAGAAATCTGTAATACCTTTTTTTCTCTTCCCGATACAGAAACAAATACCAATACTTTAGCATTGGCCGATATGGTGTACTCATGGAATACCATATCAATATAAAGAATTATATACATATTTTCATTATTATTTCACAGCTGTTATACTACTTACCCTGTATCGATGTGATTGCTATTATCGCGTGGCCTGGTTCAGTCACTTAGGGAACCCTCACTTACCTAAAATCAGCTCTTCTGTGCTTCTCCCTCCAGTATTTCTATTGTTAGCAGTATGTATTATTGCTGTGTTGGGTTAAAACAGTGGGGTCAGATCTCACCACAACCCAATATGTTTAAGGCTGCTTCAAAAGGCATTTTGGATATTAAGATCTCCGAAACAACTGAAGCTACCCATGACAACAAGCCTTAAACATCTACACACATCCAAAGCTTTGAGCTTTGTTGTGATCATTTTTGCAGCTTCCAAGATTGTGGCTTGTTGGAAATGATTAGTAACCTAAGTATATCTTTATTGAAGGTTTCTGTGATTAATGTCTTTGTCAGTGCTATACATTTGTGTGTTTATTGTCAGCTGGTGACTGGGGGCCACCGTGCGTCAGCAGGAGCATGTTTACGGCAATTTTCATAAATAAAATCCAGAGCTGCCTCTTTGGTGGCGAAGACAAAGACAAGATGAGCTGGGCACATTTTGGCATGGGGTGATATAGATTTGAATTAAGTAGCATGTAGTTTTTATCTCAAGCTGCATGCAGGGAGAGGCAGAACCAACTGCGTCTCATTCAATATCAGCACAGCTGTCCCAGCATCCGTGGAGAATGGATTCCTACTGCTGCTGCCATGGGAGGCTCCCGCCAAGAAAAATGGGAGGATATCCAGTGTGTGTGCTTGTGTTCTAAAGGAAGGCGAGGACAGAATAATACGCTGGGGTGTCTCCTTCTGCCCGTGTGTGATGTGTGATTTTGCATGTGTGTGTCATGTTGTCTCCACCCGCCTCACTTTCCTTCGCTCATGTCACCTCTGGCATGGATTAGTCTTTGGCACAACCCAGCCAGTGCCCGCGGCCTCGGCCTGCTTCTGTGGTCGCCGATATGTTGTGCTGTTGCCATGGCTACTGAACACACACACACACACACACATCGGTGCTAAATTACATAATTGAGCTCGAATATACAGGGGAACACAAAATACAAAATACTGTATAATCTGAGAGCAGAGAACGGGAAAAAGGCAGTGAAATGCGTTGGAGAGTATTTGAAAGCTTTGAAATGGCTGAGCTTTGGATATCTTTCTTTTGCTTCCCTCAGATTTGAAGTCATAAATCTAAATAACAGTGCGTCCATTATGCAAGAATTTAGAGCGTTGTGACATCCAAGCTGACGGGCCAATTGAGGATAAGGTGTTTGCGGTGTCACACAATTGCTGTTTGTGTGTGTGTGCGTGTGTGTGTGTGTGTGTGTGTGTGTGTGTAAAAGAATGTGAAAGAAAGACACACAGAGAAATCTCCAGAGTTTGTGTGAGGGAGGGTGTGGCACCCAACGTTTACACAGACACACCATGAAGCAAACACACATTTTTCTTTCTTTGCCCCCTCCCCTCTGGGCTTCAACTTGTTTTGAACAGATCATGTATCTGTGAGAGTATCAGTAATATGTTAAAACTCTGCCACTATTACCGTCACACTTGACTAACATTGAGTGGTGTTCATAAGGGAAAGCTTTTTGAATTGCAAAGTGGCGTTTTGGTTTCCAGTTTGCAAGTCTGTTTTATGAATTGAAAAGATGAGAAGTTTTTAAGATAGGGAAAGTTTTTTTTCCAATCATTTCAATCTATTAAATAAAAAAAAAGTTGAATATCAAACCCTGACATGTGAGCCTTTTTTTGAAGTCATTAAGGGCGCACTCACACTAGGCAATCCGTACCTTGCCTATAAGCAGTTTAACCCCTAAAGTCCAGTATGTCTGACTAGTATGAGTGCCCCCATCTGTGCTCAAGCACAGTACACCTCCTTGGCCCAGGCACGCTTGGAAAAGGTGTGCTTCAGCACAGTACAGTTTATGCACAAACACTAGCACAGGCACACATCGTCGACAACCTTCATTATTGAGAAATGCTGGAGTATTATGGCTGTATCTCACTAACATGACTCAAACTTGTGCAAACTTGAAATCAACTGGCCGTCACTTTTTTTTTTTCAGAGTCCGTCTGCCTTCTAAAATAAGCACACAAAGCCATGCATGTGTTGTATAACGACGTTATGTACAAGAGGTAACCGTGCTCAGGCCCGGTTATTCCTGGAGCAGTGTGAGTGCAGGCTAGCGGGGGAATTTGGAGGGGGGACAATCGCGCTTAAGCACGGTACTGGACAACTTTGCCAAGTATGAGTGCGCCCTAAGTCATGTTCACTTGTTATGTACTCACCTTAAACAGAGATTTTTGTGCCCCCCAACAAACATTCCACCTACATTTAGTATCTTGTACAGTGACGATAGGCTAAATTGACTTTATTTAAATGAGGACTTTAAAATAAAACCAAAATCTTCCCTACATTAGTACTAGATAGCAAAAGTAAGTCACTTTCACCAAAGTTTCTAGTGTGAGTCCAGTAGCACAAAATGTCACACCTTAAAAGATTACAATCAATAATGTCACACTGCAGATTGTAAAGTGAATAATCATTGTACATTTCGCAGTGTTCCGTTTTGGTCTGTGTCGAGAGCTGCAGACGACAGACTGAGAAATGTATCTGAAGGTGCTTTGTTCTTGAGTTGAATACATTTGAACTAATGCCAGTATCAACATGCTGAGCGAACGTTGACTGTAATTCAATCTCTCTTTTTTCTTTTGATCAACAAGTGACGTTTTCGCAAATGACAAGCTGTACTCTTACTAAATCAGAGTTGCATTACTAAATAAGAGTACAATTTCCCAATTTTTTAATGCCTCGCACAGAGAAACATAAAGGCTCCAACTGGGTCTTGGGTAAAAGAAGGCGTGCAGACCCTTGTATCAGTCGGTTAAAGATATAGATAGAGAGTTGTTGTTGTGGATCATTGAC